CGATCCGCAAGAAAATTGCGAGTAGATGCTAGATACTTTATAATTTCTTTTATTTTTCTCATTTCTCGTGTTTCTTTCAGAGAATTCATTCTGTGATGTTTGTTTAGTACTTTTAAGTTATTGTGTAAGTGATGTAAACCTTAATCTTTTATTTCGTTTCCGCATTTAAATTATTATATATATTTTTTTTAGATTTCCGAGGCCGTTACATTATTAGACTGAAAATACGATAAAATTTAAGAGGTGCTTTAAAAGTGAATACAGGTAAATTGACAAAATTCATAAATAAAAATAATATATTTGAATATTTGTCAAAGAAATTTGTGAAAACAAAATTTTATATGTATTTGAAATTTTAAGTTTTAAATACGCTGTGCTTTTCTAACATGTAATAAGTTTTAACTTTGAACGTATTAAATCTTTAAAGCTACCTGTGCACCCATCAAAGAGATAAGATCAAAGTATTTTGAGAATTTTCTATTTGAATAATAAATTTTTATATACTTTTTTAAAATATATATATATATATATATATATATATATATAGAGAATTTTCATACGAAATGGTGTTCGGATTATAGCAGTTTTCATGTGAAAACGCATGTTATATGTCTGTTGGTAGCTCTGAATCAATAAAAAAACAAAGCTATGAATTAATAATCCGTATAAAATAAAATATTTTTTTGACCAAAATTATATTATTGACCTCCCTATTACTGAAAAAATCTCAAATAAATTTCTATAATATTTTTTAATTCAAAGAGAAAAAACCCAGATGCAATCATAAATTATCTTGAAAGATTAGTTTATAGTAATTAGTCTATTTTAAACTATAGATATTAGTTGATAGTTACGTTTATATTTTAATATGTAAAATATTTTTATGTATCAGAAAATTAGTTTCGTAGACTTGAAAGGTCAATTAACTACTGTTTTACATTATACATACAATCGCTTTCTAAATAATTGAATATAATTAATCATACCAATCAATTCATTAATAAAATTTTAATTATACTTAATTATACAATCTAAGAATTTCCATTATGGAAGAGGAGAAGACAAGTCGTCTTGTCACTCAACTTGCTAATTTAACAAACTCCATTACGTATGTATATATATATATATATATATATATATATTAAAAGCATATATAAACACGTGGGAGAAATAAGGAAATGAGGAAACTTTCCGGGTATCCGGACGGTGTGATATAATATATATATATATATATATATATATATTATATATGTATGTATATCAACTCGTGCAGTTTTGAGAATATAGAAAAAGGAGAGATGAAGATTAAATTAATTAATTAATATTGGATCAGGATTAAGAATGGGGAGGAAACAGACGACTACTGAGGCACCAAGATTATATTCCATTATTTGGTTTGCATTAATTTTAGAATCACAAGATTAGTGTTGTGACTTTCAAAACTTTACAGACTGTTATTCACAGCTAGAATTTTTAATGCATCAGTAAAAATTTAGGTGTTGGATAAATTATTAATCAAATTTTAGTGATTTTACTGAAGAATGTAGAAGGATATTGGATTCTTTTCAAAGTAAATTACAGTCTTCTCTATGATTCTTGTGACCAGTTCAGGAATCAAGAATGCAGAAAGATATTGAATCGCCATGGCGTCTGTAAGTTGTTTTCATTCTATTCTTTGATCTTGTGATTTCTTTTTGGATGGAGTGAAGAAGATAATCCAAGCCTTCTTTATGATGTGCTAATTAGATTGCATGTATGTTTTTTTTTTTTTTTTTTGGCAGAAAGATGCCTTCAAAAAACTTTTAACCTAATGATTTTTAATATGATATGATATATATATATATAGCCCCAGTGTATTTACTTATGGAAATGAGCACGTAGAAATTCATTTTTTCTTCTTCCTAGTTATTGTTTCGGAAGCTCCTTCCTGAAATTTGAACATTATAATGGCTACCAAAATACAAGCGAAATTGAAATTTTTTTTCAATTAAGTTTTAGTTACTTATTTAAAAATTTTACAATATTTTTATAATTAAAAAAATTAAATAGCATCGATAATAGATGAAAAATAATAATTTTTAATCATTTTGAATATAAGATAGTTCGAAATTTATATAGTGAACAGAATAAACATAAAAAAAAACAAATCCACTTCATATTAAAATTTCAAATCTATGTAGCACTATAAATAACATGTCAATTTTTAAATGATTCTATTTTCACATGCAATGAAAACTTTGTACGAGAAAGATTTCTTAGAATACATATTTATAGTTTGTTTATATAATCAATTTTTAATACGAAAAAATCACATCATTAACTTTTTATTAAATATTGTTCTCTTTTATGAGTACAAATAAACATAATAACCTGACTTAAAGGAGAAACAAAAAAAAAAAAAAAAAAGATAAAAACTTTGAAATACAAAAGACAGCCACCATAAATTAGTAAAATGGTGGATTCACAAATTGAATTTTTAATTTAAATTTTAATTATATGTGCTAGAAGCCATTACTATATTAGAAGCTTCAAAATGCAGGAAATTTTTATTACTTTTATCATAAATTTAAATTCAATTTTAATAAGATTTTATGTGACGATCGTATGATTATTTTATTTATATTTAATTTATAAATAATTAAAAATGACCCATAAAGGTATCATATTATATTATTATTTTATCAAATATCACAGTCGTTTATTACATTATAATTTATATTTATTATGTTTTTCTTTTAATTTCATGAAAATCAACATGACTTAATTCTCATTCAATTATCTAAACATTCTTATTCTATTTTAACCAAACATGACCCCTAGATATCTTTTGAGAACAAAATACCCATTGCAAAAATGACCCAGTTAGAAACGAATTTCGACGTGCATGACGTGGCATCTGTTGGCCTTAAAAACACATCCGTATGGGATGATCGACGTCGTCAGCAAATACGACACCGTTGCTTTTCAGCTTTTTTTTAAAAACCATAACGCATCTTTTACTCCATGGTTAGTGCGCCACGTGTCATCCTTTTGCACCATATGGATATCATAGCATCACTAATATCACACAGTTTTAGATTTTACTGCCACGTCAGCAAACGTAACAGAGATGGCATCTGACGTGGCACCGTTTAGGCCCTTCACTTGCGCCACGTCATCTTCTCCAAGTATAGTACCTTTTCTTGTATGTATCCTATTCTTGTGTCCCCCTCTTTCCTCCCTATCATTCTCTACCAGTTCAAGCTGTTTTCCATGTCAATTTGCATTTTCCTGAAAAGTAAAAAAACCCTAAATAGAGCTTCTCTATTTCAAGTTTCAGTGAGAGGAATTTTTCACTCTCGCTAAGTACATGGAGCTGGAACAAAGTTTGTGAGGTAAGTTTGTTCTCGTTTGATATTCTTCTATTTTATCTTTTTTTTTTTCTGGAAAATGATTATGCCTGATTTCAATTTCAGGTTGTTTGGCGGAATTTTTCTTCCAATTTCGGGACACATTAAAATCAACAAGGACTGTTTTTCTTTTAGTTCAATACCTGGATTGATGATTCCGTTTCTTCGATTGAAATTTGAGATCGGATTTCTGGTTTGCTTTTAATGTGCAATTTGGGGAGTCTAGTAATTGACTACATTTTGGAAGATTGAGTTTCTATCCCTAGACTCTACTTGAAACAAAAAGAGTTTAGTTTCCATTAGGACTTGTTTGGCCGTTCGAGAAAATTCGAGGAGAGGAAATCAATATCAGCTTTCTGAATCTGCTTGTCGCCTGAATGCTCTTATTAGGGATGTTGATCCCACGTTGACCAAGTATAAGTATATAATTAATTGTTGAACAACTTTACCAGTTAAGATATGGTGTGACTTAGAATATAAGATGGGATCAGAGGTATTCTATCTGTACTTGTCTGTTTACTTACACGTTCTGCCTGAGGGTTAACCTGACATCAAGCAACAATGAAGAGAATCTATACTTGTTTATCTATCTTGGGAGCAACTCTACCTGTTAGCATATGATTTTGGTTTTAACAATTCTAAAATTGTCTGATGGCATAATTTGGGAGTTGAAAGGTTTGTTTTCCACCTGCAAGGCATGGTTGCAGCTTGTAATAATGGTATTTTCTTCCACTTCTCAAGGTCTTATTAGTTTGCTGTGCTTGTCGAAGTCAAAAATTTTGAAGGAAACAGGATGGGCAAGCTGTCTTGTGGGATAAAAAGTTTTTGGACATATTCTATCCAGTGCCTTCCTTTTTCTTGGTCCTTTTGAATCGGGTTGATGGGAATCACTGAGACCAGTAACAATGGTCCTGTGACCAATGGAATACTAAAATCAAATCATCAAGTACAAGATGATCCAAATGGAACAAAGGATGAAGTAATAAGAGACAGACCGTTCTCAAAGGAAAATGAATCGCGGATTAATGAGGATGTAAAAGATGTAGATGATGGAAAGACTGGAGCAGTTCAGCTCCAGGAGCATGTACAGATTCTCCATAGGACACAGAAGAGATCCCAAGGGCCTCCAGACCACTGGGAGAGTTTTCTTCCTTTTAGGTCTGTGAAAGTTCTACTGGTGGAAAATGATGATTCTACCCGCCACATTGTTTATGCATTGCTGCGCAATTCTGGGTATGAAGGTGAGTTAGTTTTCCTACTAACGGAAACTCCGCATTTGGCATTGGAACTGTGCATGATTATCTCTGAACTTTGAGATAAATTAGTTCTGTTACAAAAGAAAGGACTTTTATATGATATACTTTGTAAAAGCTAAAATGAAGGTCTTGATGACGCTAACATTTTCAGATCTAGACCACCCTAAGGATTTCAAACATTGTTACCTAGACTAATTTGCAACAAATGAATTGTGTGATAATTTAGTTCTCTTACAAAAGAAAGGACTTCTATATGATATACTTTGTAAAAGATAAAATGAAGGTCTTGATGACACTAGCATTTTCAGATTTAGAACTCCCTAAGGAATTTGAACATTTTTATACTACACTAATTTGCAGCAACCTCATGTGCATCTAAAGGCTAACTTTGTGATGGAATAAGATGTTAAATATTACTTGGTATTGTTATGTGGTGGATTTTTCCCATTTCTCTATTGTGGTAATCTTTTACACAATTCTGACTTTTTTTGTCAATCCTGGCAGTTATTGCTGTCGAAGATGGCCTGCAAGCCTGGAAAATTTTGGAAGATATGACAAATCGTATTGATCTTGTTCTAACAGAGGTAGTCATACCATTTTTATCAGGCATTGGCCTTTTGTGCAAGATAATGGGTCAAAAGACTTGCAAGAATATTCCAGTGATCAGTGAGTATATTTCTTATGAAGTCCTTCCTCCATTTCATGTAATACTGTTAACTGATACCTTTTAACAAATTCTTTTATCCTTTTTGCTGCTAAACCTGGTGAATTTTTTGTGCAGTGATGTCATCTCACGATTCTATGAGTGTAGTCTTTAATTGTTTGTCCAAGGGTGCAGTTGACTATTTAGTGAAACCTATACGAAAGAATGAGCTTAAAAACCTTTGGCAGCATGTTTGGAGGAAATGCCACAGTGTGAGTTGCTAATATTATCTAACTTTACTGGTGTGAACCTTCAATAAACCAACTTTGAACTCTACAAAATCTTCATGTCAATCTTTATATATTCTTTTGTTTGCTAACTCTTAAGCTATCAGAACTATATCTTTACTTCAACAGCAACATTTCAAAAATATTTTTGAAGTTCTTTTCTCCTTTTTTTCACCATTTTAAAACTTCGCCAAATAGAACTATAGAAGTGCAAAACTTTGCCCCTTCTGTTGCATTCATTGTTCATCATTTCATCAGTCTAGTGGTAATGGGAGTCAAAGTGGCATTCAGACCGAAAATTCCTCAAAATCCAAGAGTGTTGAGGACTCGGACTACAATACTGGTAGCAACACTGAAGATGATATAAGAAGCATCGGTTTTAATGCTTGGGATGGAAGTGACAATGGAAGCAGCACTCAGGTATGACCTATTTTTCTTTCCTAAGTGCAGTGCGCACTATTTTCGGTGAAGGGAGTCTTTTCATTTGAAGTTACGGTGATGATTAAAGAATAGGATTACCATTGTTTTCTTCACTATAAAGAGTTACTATCGTTGTCTGCAAGCAAATTCATTCATTTTTGTAACCCATGCTCAGAAAGCTTCAAAATCCCTGATAGTTCCAAGTTAAGTCGCAGAACCAAGGCAAGAATAAGTTTTTTAATAGAAAAAAGCAATTAATAGGAGAGAAATCTCAAGAAACACCAACACTCAGGAGGAAACAATTAAAATCTTGGTAAAACATCTCAAAGAATAGAAGATGAAAGCAGCAACCAACAAATGATGGTATCAGGAACATTTTGAGATTCAAATTAACTGACAAGGTTGTGGACCTTACATCGGGGTAATTAAAAATGGGTATCAGGATCTGGAATACGTAGCCAGTTGGACAAGGAATAATCAGTGTTTCAGGGGATGTCACATGTCTGTTATCATTCTCTATACTGTAGTTCTAAACTTCATCTGTCTTCTTCTCAAGGTTTTAACTAAAGGCTTTAAGATTTCATGGATCTACTTTAAGCAAAATTATTGTGGAGAAATAAGAATAAGCAATAAAAATTAGAGAAAACCAAGCCTTCACAAATAGTCATCTCTAGTAATACATCTATGGTCTAATTGCTATAGGGCAAGCAAAATGACTGGTAAATTCTTCTGTTAAATACTAAAGCTTATAGAACTCATGGTACTCCCGATCCTATAATCTTCCAAAGCAAGAAACTTCTTTGAGTTCTGACTGTATAATGGTCATATATAAGGTTCCAAATGTAAAAAGAAGTCTGCATTAAGCCTTATAGATCCTAATACTCACATCCATCAATTTCAGAACCATCTGTCCTTTTTGACTCCTAACCCAAAGAAACCTACATGAATATAAAAGCCTATCTAAGTGGAAAAAATATGGGGAATATAAGTTATGAGACCAATCAAACTTAACACTTAAGTAATATGAATCACATAGCCATTGAAAACCATAGATAGGTATTAAAACCCAAGCTTTGTCATTTAACACCCCTTCTATCCCATGGAAGACATGTTACATTCTAGTGATTGGCGGCACTTGTGGTGACGCGGGAAAACCATAAATTAGTTATTTATTCTCAAGAATTCTTCTTATTCCTAGATCCTATCTTTAGATACTTCTTGAAAGGAAGAAGAATTTCACATTCTTGGTGAATAGGAAAAATTCCTATTGATTGCAGTTTTCTCCGAACTCCAGCAAAGGCATGAAAAAAAAGGCTCAAAAGGTAAAACTTGAAGGAGAAAAGGAAGTAGGTTTAGGCTTTGAGGATTTTCTAAATAAAGAATTTGTTAAAGAAGAATTAAGCTGCAGTACCTCTTTCATTCAAAATTGGATTTCCCAACCAAGTATTTCTGCCTGTGGCTTCAGAGGTACTGAAGTTTGGCATATTTTCCTGTGTCTAAGCATCTATTGTTCTCCTTGACTTGGATGATCAAGTAGTTCAGAAAACTAAATTTAGTTGTTCATCAATATCTTTCAACAGAAGGCTATGGATTTTTTTCAGCTCTTGTCCAAAACATGCAATAAGTTAGTTATGTTTGCAACTATTGGATATAGTAGCAAGCGATAATTAGTGAAACCGGCAAATTCCAACAGAAGACATCAAGCAGTATGAGGGAAAATTGAAGCATTAACAAAAAAAAAATCCAATAATATAGTAGAATATAACAAGTCCACACCAGCTGCTATAGATCATATGTATCTAGTCTGACAGTTACATGACACCATAGTGCTTAAGACCCCAAAAAAACTAATTTGAGAATAGTTTGTACAAAATCTGAAGAAACTTGCAAAAAAGCATATAATATAAGGTTATCTAATTTATTAATATTTTATAAGATTCCTGATTTACTATTCTTTTGTCAGTCAAGATTTTTACCATTCTTGATCCCTTCCTCACAAATTTCTTTTCTAATAAGTGTATCCCCAGAATGCACTTATTGAAAATCCAAACATCATTCTGATTCTATAATTAAATATTATGTAACTTCACATGGCAAATGATGTTTTCCTATTGAAGGTTCTTTCAAGGATTATCTTATCATTTATGCTTGCTTTGTCTGTTCTATGTGCCATGAAAATGTGCCTCAACACATGCAGGTGTGTCTCCTTGTGCATCTATCAGCTTTCATGTATGTAAATGGGCTTGTGGAGCCCACATTCCTATGAAATGAAAACAGTTTATTTTGGTGTCTGTTAACTGATTTTAAGTGACGACATAGTTCTGACCTGAAACCTGAGAATCACACTACAGAATAGATGTAGAGATTATAAATGCACATTATCCATTTTTCTTTGCAGAGCTCATGGACAAAAAGGACAATCGAAGTTGACAGTCCCAAACCAATGTCACCAGGGAACCAATTAGCTGATCCACATGATAGCACATGTGCCCAGATCATTCGGTCAAGATCTGAAGCAATTCATAACCATTGGTCTGTGACTGCTGCAAAAGAGTACAAAGGGGACAAATTCAGTATGAACAATTCTGTTTTTTTCTGGACTTCTCTCATGAATCCAATACTTTCTTTCCATTTTGCTCCATTAAAGACTATATTCCATTTCACTGTTTAGGCAATATGCTGATGGGCAAAGATTTGGAGATAGGAGTCACTAGAATTCCAAAGTTGCAACTTAAAAAGCCAAGTGCAGAGGCACTAAGCCACATAGATGGTCTACCTGGATTGAACTCGATTAAAGATCCTGAGAATTTATTGAAAGAAGAACAGGGAAACAACAGTGATAGTGATTTAAAAAGCCTATCTGCTGATCTTATTGGTTCCATCAATTACAAGTGTCCTAATCTAGAATGTGTTACCTTTGGCACCACAAATCTTCTTCCCAAGGTCTCTGATGATAAAAATAAGGTTATTTATGACACGGAGGAAATGCCATGCCTTGAGCTCAGTTTGAAAAGATTTAGTGATGCTGGAGATACTAGGAAAAGTACCCATGACAGAAATCTTCTGAGACATTCTAAACTCTCAGCCTTCTCAAGGTATGGATAGATTTCGGTTCCCTACTCAACTCCAAAGTTTTAGTTCGACTAAGATTTCACTTCTTTGCAGGTATAATTCTGCTTCAACTGCTAATCAGGCACCAACAGGCGATATAGGTAGCTGTTCTCCACCAGATAATAGCCTAGAGGTTGCAAAAACAGAATCAGAGCAGAATATTCAATCTAACTCAAATCAGCATTCCAATAGTGATAGCAACAACAATGATATGGGTTCTACAACTAATAATATTTTCAACCAATCGATTGTATTTAGTGACAAACTAGCTCCTATATCCAAAGACAATTGTCTCCCTCCTTCCGCTCTGCACCCTATGCAAAATGGTCATTTCTCTCCTGTTGAGCCTGTGTTAGAAGGTAAATCTGATGCTGCAGTGCCTAAGGCAATGTTGGCTCAAGGGAAGAGCGTGGACCAGCTGATCCAAGTGCACCACTACCATCACCATCATCACCAGTATTACATCCATAATGTGCCACAGCAGCAGTATCTAGCCAACCATGATGATACGCCTTTAAATAACATGGTGGAAGCAGCTTCCCAATGTGAGGCATGCAATTCATCAGGTGCATATAATGATGGTAGTGATTGTGCTCATGCTTTCAGTGGAAGCGCCTCAGGCAGTAACCATGGGAGCGATGGGCAAAATGGAAGCAGCACTGCATTCAATGTCACAGGAACAAACATGGACATTCACAATAGGATATCTGGTGAAGGTGGAGCTGGTGGTGAAATCACCATTGGGATAGATCAGAATCATTTTTCACAGAGAGAAGCTGCCTTGAACAAGTTCCGCCAGAAAAGGAAAGAAAGATGCTTTGAGAAGAAGGTAGCTAAGTTGCATTTTAATATCAAAATCTTTGGTTCCTCAAACAAAATCTAGATATTTACAACAAAAGAATTTCAAGATATCACCCTGTACTGTCAATCATTATGTCATAGTAATCATCCAACGTGCAAACTATTTTGACATTCAATGAGACAGTTTTAAGGCAGATTTTCTCATGGGTATTTGGGCAGCTAGTCATTACATTGACCACCTTAGAATGAAAGAATATCTATTAGCTATGTTTTATTCTGCCAATACCAAATTTGGTTAGCATGCAACTTTGGCACCACTAATGCAAATCCAAAGTATGAGCACGACAACCTAATTAATTGTGAATCCCATGGTTGACTCCCTGTTTCTACTGTATTGTGAGAGTCTTTTACTTCTGTATTAAATTTTGTTAGAACTGAAGGATGCAGGATATTCCTAATTTAGTTCTTTTCAGGTCCGATATCACAGTAGGAAGAAACTAGCAGATCAAAGACCTCGTGTTCGTGGACAATTTGTGCGACAGGTGGTGCACGAAAACAGAAACGAGGACAAGCATTGTCAACCTGACGCTAGTGAGAGATAGCAGATGAGGTTTGTATGAGGTGTCATTAACTGTGTGTCCATTGGAGTGAGCATTTAACATTCCAAGGTAGAATATTTAGGCAAGTGACGGTGTTTAGTTAAGATCTTATTTTATCAAAAAGCCAAAACCCGCTGTAGGTGAGGCTCCAAAAGGCACCTTGAGGTTTTAACCTCTGTTTATAATTCTAAGATTTATGCTGCCACCAGTGTCGCCCAGAAGGCCACCCTTTAATGGCAGCTTTCTCTAATAAACTAAATCTTGACAAGTAGCATCTTCAAAGACTTATTTAAGTCAGCAATTCGGACACCCTTTCTTGAGGAATACCTCTCACATAATTTCTCCAGGATTTTTCTTCCTGTACATGCTAATATTGAATGGACTTCTTAGCTATGCATATTACTCACACAAACGCATTTAGCGGGTTTACAAATAAGCACTTGATCTGGCTTCACCAGATGTTTGTTTCGAAGAAGGGAGCTTTTTTTTTTTTTTTTTTTTCTTATGGTATAATTTAAAGGAATACAAATATTGCCTTTCCAACACATACTACGACCAGATTTATCACACCACTAGTATCGCCTAAAAGATACATAAAGATGACGAAGTTGGGCCAGAAATTATCCATGCAATTCTACAATTAATCAATATCCTGAAATTTAGCCCAGACGAAAAAAGAATTATTTGGAAGAGATCGAAGGCAGCTCTATCCCCTCAATGTTTGCCTCCTCTCCTAAGAAATATAATATGATAACGTGAAATAGTAGCATGCGAACACCATTTTCACGCCTAGTATGTAAAGCAAATATCATACTGCTCAAATACATACGTATCTAATAATTATATGTACAAGAGAGACAGATAGGAGTCTAACCGTTTTGAAGAAACCCAGAAAAC